AATCAGAAACATCAGCAGTTTTGACACCATGAGAGAATATCAGGACGCTTTAAACAAGAATCTCATTGAAAATGGCTACCATGAACACCACATCACAAAATCCATGTAGCCCACACCACAAAACCACACACAACTCCTGTCACCGAAATACTTATCAGTCTGAATCTGAAATTCAGTGGAGAACGATTAGGAAAAGCATTATAAAATCGTTGATCTCGTTCGTTGAGGAGAACCTTCTCCACAGGTGAACTTCCAATCAATCCTCCTACAAAATCAGTCATTCAAATGGACGTGAAGCATAAGCTACCACTTCGCGACTTCTGAATGTGTATCTGTTAATTCACCCTCCCCCTGCAGTGAAGTATGTCGGCCGTACTCAGCGTTTACCACACAAACATATCATCGGACAGTAACCGTGATCGCCTAACAGGACATCAATTAGTTATGCCTTTGAAACACTAATGTGAGAGTTGTGGATCATACCACAGCACAGAAATCTACATTTAACGTACAAAGTAGAGATTTTCAATTTGAAAATATAATGCATTCTGTAGACAGGCACTTCTAAACAATCCTAAACACACAGTCCACTAAATGATCACCACCATACATAACTAACTTCACATAAACAGATTGTTGATTCATCTTAAAAAATTATTTAGGTGCGCAGCTGAAGCCCTATGTTCCTCTAGGAACTAAAGGATACAATAATAATAATAATAATCAATATTTCACAAAAATGAAACTGAATCACATGTGACATTTCTTAACTTATGTAAGCTGCATATTTTTTTACATGCATTAGAATTGTTTATGTTTCTCAAATACATTAGTTCCATAAAAGTGCTCTAATCTTTGAGTCAAATGACACGATATTCTAATAGAGTTTAGTCAATTCAGTGAATTTTAGTCAAGTACAGTATTTCACTGCCTACAGGCTAACTTGGTGTACAGCTTATTGGCTTGTCTACTGGACTTTGAGTCGGTCAAGAGTGGGGGTGAGTCCCACTGGGTAGTGTTACAAGTGACTTAGAAACATGTACTGCTTTAAAATATTCAGTTGTACTTTACAGACGACCTCTTGGGCTGTCATATCCACAAATCCAAAGGCAGAATTCATAACTCTGAAATAATGCAAGAGATACTGAGCACAGGTGGTTGGTTCTGATCTGGCTGGATAAGTCAACTGTGAAGATCTCATTACTCATCTAGACATCTACAGCTATTACTTCACTATGAAGTGAGTCTTCCAGAATTCAACATCAACGGCACAATTATCTTTCTATTTGTGTAAATTTGTATTCATTTCGATCAATTCGCTGACCTAGTATTCGACCTCTTGACCACATGGTTTGTTCTCTTTCTGTTTATTGACTGATAAGTTTTATCTGTCTATGTCAGTGTATCTGATGAGTGAAGAGTGATCTGATTACCAGGCTTCTAGGAATTCTGTCATTTTCGATGCCTCCACTGTTCACAATTTCCATATTCTTCCTGTCAAATTGGTGTCCATAACTGTCTATTTATACTGATATGGAGGAATACATGTCACGGTTTTCAGCGGCTAGTTTATGTTACTCGATTCGAAGATAACCTCAGAAATAGTGCTTCCCGTGACTGATACAATTTAATTTGTAAATAGCGCTAACCTTGTCTTCTTTTGCTGTTGGGCATTTTGGTCTGAATAGTACTGAATGAATGAATCTCCTGGTTTGTGCATGATATCTACTCAAAACAGTTTTAGTACTCTAATCATTATTTCAGACACATTATTTATGGTAGGATGAACTCTCTTCCTGGTAGTTTAGTTAGAGTTGAGATATGCTTCAATGAAACTGTGGGTGGTATTTATGTTTACTGAAGACAGGTAATAGATGCTTCTGTTCTTCCACCTCCAAAACTGACGTTTCCAATCTTCTTAACATAATATAACTATCCAGTCTCAAGATGAAATCTCTTCATACATGCTACATTCACATTCTTCGTCATGTTTATTTACTAGTTTAGACATGCTAGTGAGACACTTGCATTTAAACCTGTGCGTGACAACCTTTCAGTGTACCCCACCACTGGGTCCATGAAATATCAATCACCTATATCCAAGAAACCGACTAATCACAATTCAATTCCTATTTTCAACAAATCAGTTGAAAATGATTATTATTTTCAGGGATTTCTGAAAACGACATACTGAAGTAAAGAACTAGTTGAAATGCCTTCAGCCGATGAGTTGTTCACAATATTAGCTCATTTGAAGTGTCTATACAACTCATGGTATTTATAGGATATCAACTGGGAAGCAATAAGGGGAACTCAAATTAGAAGACCAATGATAACAACTGGTTAATCAATGCAAACTACATATAATGAGATTTGAATGTAGGACCGAATAGTCGAGAGTTTTGCTTAAAGCCGTAAGCCACAGACGCAAATGATCAGCTATGACAGTATTCAATAACTTGCGATTGTCACCTTTGCCAACGGTGATTTATCAAGGGAGTAAATACATTGAGTAGTAGCTCACACATTTCTACTCTAAGACTCGGTAACATGACTGCTGATATGCAAACACTTCAGGTTTCCGGATTTTCAACTCCAATGTAAAGTCAGTGCTACTTTACGGATCAGAGACCTGGCGAGTCATAAAGAGCATCTCAAACAAACTTCAGACCTTCATTAACAGCTGTCTTCGCTCAATACTAAATATCAGATGGCCAGAAAAGATCAGCAACAGGGATCTCTGGGAGCGAACCAATCAGGAACCGACTGTGAAACAAATAGGCAGGAAGAAATGGGATGGATTGGCCATACTCTGAGGAAACAATCAAGTGACATTACTAGACAAGCCATTGCTCGAGTGGAACCCGAAAGGGAGGCGGCGAGTTGGTCGTCCAAGGGTGACTTGGAGGAGGTCATGCGAGGAGGAGATGAAAGCATATGGACAGGCCTGGAGCGGGGTGAAAAAGTTGGCAGAAAACAGAAGGCAATGGAGGTGCACAGCTGAAGCCCTATGTTCCTCTAGGAACTAAAGGATACAATAATAATAATAATAATAAAAATAATGCACACTCCTAAGAATATTTACTTGATGCCTAGGAATATTTAATGCACATCTTTGCAACGTTTCACCTTATTCTAGGCATATAGCACTCAGGATACATCATTATCCACGATCTGATAATCACGCACTTCCAACAATACACGAAGACCAATTCAGTGATAACCGTCTTCATTGCCAGATGATGAACAAAGCTGCTTAATCAGTGGTCTAGTCAATAAAAAGCTAGGCGGTTAAATCAAGATTAGGTAGGAATCAGCTGAAGTCATCATTCAATTCACTTTCCGTGATATTACAAGTGTGGCCCATTGCCTGAAGCACTACACTCCCGGCAAATTCATCTCATGTCCAAAGTCTCGCTCCACCTACCTTAGCTTCAGTAGTATCATCAGCCTCCACAAAATAACTGTGACCCATAGCCTAGAATACGAAGCGTCAGTTCCGAGTAGCTGACTGCAAACACGGTACCAGCAGTCGTATAGAATAAGATTGAGAGACTCTATTCACTCTGTGGGTTCCCATAACCTTGAGGCACAAGTGGTCAAACAAAATATGAAATCAATCCATCAAGTCTATGATCTAAGCCACGAAGAAAGGTGAAGACTGCCTCAGGTCCCCGACATGCTCACAGCCAGTGACTCAAGACTGTTCGTGACACGACTGAAAATGGTTTTCAAGGGTGGATATGCATTCACTACTTCCAATCTCCTAGATCCATTAAACTTCCATTCTTCTTCTCTCTCCCCTACATTCACGTTTGTCGCAGTTTCTTCTCCAAACTCTAATCTTTGTTTTATCCAGTGTGACAACTTCGATCGTCACACTTCCGTGCAAACTTCTACCTTGAAAACTCAGTCAGAACCGTGAGTAGCTTATTTTCGTTTATTTCGTGAGAAATCGTACACCTTAGTCGATCCTCGTCTTCCCTTGTCTCTTAACACTTTTCTCAATATTCTCTTCCTGTGCTATCATGCAATGCTTCTCAATGCGAGCAATTGACATTTCTCAGAAGTTGTCTGTTGTAAACCATTTCCACTGTATATACACGCACACACACGCACAATAGATTCCAATGATGTAACAAGGCATTCTAAGTAACATACTAAGCATTCGTTCAGAAATAGAAAGAATAAAATACAACCACAACGAATTAAACCCTCAATTTTTCGACCCACACCAACTTTATTCCTCTAAAAAAGACATAACACTTTATAAAAACTCCAGTACTATATTATCAAAATATTTTGTTGAATCACTTTCAAATCAACAAATATACATATACATAAATGAAAACTGAGAAAGCAATGAAAAAAGTCAGACGCTCGTCTCACGAAAAGACTATAAAGCTTGCACAGATACAAAGTGAGCAGAAATCCAATGTTTGGAAGTAAGTTCATAAAAACTACATTTTGCACATATGATCACGGTAACTGAGAGCATTTTTTCATGAAGGAAAGAATAAGTTGCTGTCACATACAGTTAACAAAATGAAAACGCGTTATGCAATGCACATGATCTAGCTGCTGGCTCTCGACCACAGAATAAACAAAAATTCGCGAATAAATCAATACATCTACACTAAAACTAATGAATTAGCACTAAATAACTCTCTCTTTCTCTCTTTACAAATATATATGCTATAGCTGTGGCGTGTAATACAAGATATATATAAGTAGAATAATAGATGCAGCGGAGAGATGAATTTAACGAAGAATGCTTGTGAAACAACGTGGAACACATGAAAGGAAGATACAACCGGATGTTGTGGTGTTTCCCATCTATATAGTAGTTATAAATCTTGTCACTGACACACACCACACAACTACTAGAAAGTATAACTCCAAATTATCTTGTAATAAATTACACACATTTACATTTGTAAAGAAGAAGAATTAAATCACTTTGTGCGTGTACCAGCCTGCCCTTATTGAATAAACTCTATTTAAAAAGCATGCATACGATCTTTTCGATTCTGTTCCCGATAAGTCTTGATGACTGAATAGATAAATAGGATCAAGAGAACACCATTAACAGCAATAACAATAGATCCTTCGAGTACATAAGATGGCATAATATATACCTTTAGATGGCTTGTTACATTGCTATTTGTCTCAGGATCGAAGCACTGATATTCACCAGAATGCTGTACAGTAAGATTACTCATTGTCAGGATACCATTTTCATTGGCAAATCGACCATCTGCTGACTGATTACCATTTAGAAGAACTGTATCATCGTTCAGTATCCACTGTAGGTATGAAGCATGACTTGAGTTTTCTGTGGAACATTCAAAAATCCCAGATTCACCAACACGTAATGCTTGAGCGATAGGCGACACAGACAATTCTTCAGAAGCCACATAAACAACAATTCGCGTAACAGCCAAGTAAAGAGCAAACAGACAGCAGTCTAAGCGGAGCATTTATCAGATCTGTAGACAAAATGACAATAATTACACAAGCTTTAATAACACATCAAAATAATTATATAATGCACATAAGACATTTTTCCAAATCAATAAAAATAATTATAAAAAAGCATGAACTCAACCTGGTGTCAGTTTTTCACCTATACACACTTAACATAGTCAATTGCAAAAAAGGAATATATTTCCACACTTCTAAAGTTTGAAACGTAAAATGTACAAAAGAAGCAGAAAATCACAGTGAACAGGCTTTCGATAAGGAGAAAATCCTAGACAACAAATTTTAGCTTCGCGTGTAGCAGATGCATGATAAAATAAAAACCCGTAATACACTTAAATAAAACCTGTAGTCAGTTGCTACCACATACTGCATCTCTCCTTCGTTTCAGTTACTGCAGTAACTACACTCTACACAGAAAGACTGATGTGCTGAAAGAAATAACTCCGCTTTCTTTGCCCCGTGAAGACTGATTCTCTATCTAGAACATAAACACACACACACACACACACAATATTCTTGTTAGTCGAAAGCGCTGGTAAGACATACTGGCTTGGTATGTACTTCATACCCGTAAAATATACGATAAATGTAGAAACCCTCAAAACTGACTCAAGAGTATCTTGCACTAAATTACACATATTTACATGGATAAAAATGAATTAAATCAGTCTTTGGATGTATGTTGTACTTATACAGGACCCAAGTACTGTTACTCATTCAACTCCTCATAAGCAATACGCTGAATCTACAGAATTCACCACACAGGTATCAGGCGATTTATTGGTTAGTTCTTGTGGACTTTATGTTGTAGGGATAGCACTGAGCTTCAAGAAAGAGAAACATCACTGCTTGACTGAACCCGAGTGGACAGTTGTGTGTTGTTCCGTAGAATGGGTTTGTATGGATAGGGAATGATAATGATATTTGTCGATCTGACTGCAAGTCTGATAATAGGCACCGTCTTCTGAATCTTTGAGCAGATTCTAACACATCTTTAGCCAATACCAACTTTCGCTAGCAATCTCCGTAACGCTTCCTAACGTCTTCCTGTCATTAAAGTCCAGAACCAAATGCAACCTGATGATCGGGATTGTATGTCGCAATGACCCGAGTCGCACTACCTATAACGAATCTCGCTGCAGATTCTATCATGGTAACAGAGACTAAAAGCTGTCACTACCTCAGGGTAAATAGCTTGTCCAATCAAGCTGATGTGACAACGATAGGCATATTACAGCACACGGTATTTCCTTCGGGTAACTAATAAGTCAGCTATGCTGCTATCCCAAATCAGCTTACGTTTATCCATAGTTATCATCTAGATGAGTACCGACACTCTTATTTGGAGCTGGGAGTTATTTATACAACGTTTCAAGGCAAGGAACCTATCTAGTATTCCCGTACTTTTTTAAACGCTTAAACTAGCCTGATTTTCTCTATTATTAACTGTTTCAAAGTCTCTTGCATCACTAGCCATTAACTTCAACGGTTTCATTCATTGTTAACTGTATGGAAATGCAGGTTGTTGTTGAGTAACTGGACTGAATTTAAACATGAGTACAGCAGTCCAAGTTGCCACATTTTATGAAGCACACAGAACTAAAGGAAAACTATAAATAAGCCGTAATAAACGGAAATGCACGAAAGGAAGAACTAAACAGAGAATGTGATGGATCCAAGAGTTTATAAATAGTGAATGCATCTGCGTCACTGAGAACGATTTTTAACCATATCACCAACAGCCTCCAACCACTAGTATTTAGCGTTTGAGGGACCCAACCACCCTGCACCTGTATGCGTGACTCAAACCAACAGTCAAAGACTTCATGGATTAATATCACGTCTTTAATTAACTACCTCAAAATCCTTTCCAACATAATCTTATGTCAGCCTACATTTCTCGATAAGTTAGGTGGCCGTTCGTCAGTTTCACAGCCTCAACGATTGACTTTCCTTTCTTACCTAACACTACTCTTAACCTCGTTATTGTGAAGATGGAACTCATTAGCTTAGGCACACAGGCTTCTGGTCAGTGGATTTCAGGTTTGAGTCCTGCTTCGCCTCTTTTAGCCTAGACAACTGGGTAGTACCACCTATCCCCATAGAGTCAGTGTGCTTTTGGTTTGGTACACGGACCTCAATATTGCTCACCATATTATCACACCTAACAAGATATAGGACGCAAGAATCAGTGGTCAGAGATAACTGACCTCTTCATATCTACCACTTCCAATGGCCGAACCTCGCAGCCATAAAGGGCGCAGCCAACTACTGCACAGTACACACATCTTTTGTTCAATCGCTTGGAACCACATCTACGCCAAAGATGATTATCTGAAGAGGTGAAAAATGGGTCACTATTGCCGACTTGGTGCGAAACTCCACAAATGCCACCAAAACACTTTTTGCCTATCACAGCTTCATGCTACTAAACAGTGCATTTTCCCTTACTTCTGTGACCACCACCAGCTGTCTCAGCCAGAGAAACACCATTCCATGTCTCATAAAAACTTCCCCGTGACCACCGACATAGGACCAGCAATGGAGACAATCAAACCATCTAGACACACGTTATCAACAGAGAATAAGGGTGGAATATTGCTGCTACTCCAAGAACACCTGCCTTGACTCCGGTAATTCATCAATCTGCTTATGACTGGACGAACACGGAAAAGAAGCAGATGTTAGTGTTTCAAGTGTCAAACTTTTAGATGTGAACAGTATTCACTCGTGCATGGTTTTCAGTAAGAATAGAAACTTTTACACTCATGTATACCTTTCATGATTAAGTAACCGAGCTAGCATATCCGGGCCCATTGCAAACACTTCGGCCAAAGATAAACATAGAGTACATTAAAGAAAGCAGGAAAGTTGTCTGCACTGTACCCTAAGTCTCTCCAGAAGGTATGTAGTGCACCCGAAGAGTGGCCTAGAGTTTCCACGATGTACCCAAAGTCAATGCTAGCTGGGGACAGGGGAAAGTTAAACTATCATAGACAAAACTACAGTGATCTTGAACAACCAGTCAGAATTCAGATGCAAAAAAAGTCGTATAGTCGTTGAAAAAACACTAAGAAATATTGCAAACTTGGTACTACACTGTGTAAGAATGTCTCCCAGTCAATACACACATGATCCATGGAGAAATCGTACCATTCGCGATACATGCATTCATCCAGCTAACATGCATTATTGCAAAGGTATTGGAAACTATTATAAGGGATCAACTATTAGCTTATGTTGAAACACATGGCTTGTTGGCTGTGGAACAGCATGGATTCCGACCAAGACGATCCTGCTTGACAAACCTACTTTTGGCTAGGGAAGACTGGGTTGAGGCCAGAGATAGGAACCATCTGTTGGACGTGGTTTTTATTGATCTTAGCAAGGCGTTCGACAAAGTATCCCAATTAGGTCTCCTTAGTAAACTTAAAGGCTTCGGACTAGACCAATGCCTATTTGAGTGGTTTAGAGATTACTTAATGGATAGAAGGCAGAAGGTTAGAGTTAACGGTGTACTATCAGGATGGAAAGCAGTATCCAGTGGAGTGCCCCAGGGGACTGTATTAGGTCCATTGCTATTCCTATTATACGTTAACGAATTACCAGGGATTCTTTCTTCATCTTCATTATTATTTGCAGATGACATTAAGATATGGAAAACTGTAAACAATAACGAGGATAGGTCGGCCCTACAAACTGATTTAGATAAATTAGCTGAGTGGTCAAGCCTATGGAGTTTGGAAATGAATGCTAGGAAAAGCGCGGTAATGCACTTAGGTCAGAAGTCTTATGCGTCGTACTCCCTAGGGGACGCAGAACTACCTGATGTTAACGAACAGAAGGACCTAGGAATCATTGTCAGCAATGATTTGAAGACAACTGCAAATTGCAATGCAGCCGCAGCTAAAGCATTTCGAATGCTATGGGCAATTCCAAGGACTTTCAAACGATTAGACGAGGGCATGTTCCAAATACTCTACGCAACATATGTCAGGCCTCATCTAGAATACTGCATACAAGCGACGAGTCCATGCTTCAAAAAGGAGGCACATATTCTGGAAAGAGTACAGAGAGTAGGAACAAAATTAGTTAGTAGGCCGCGTGTGACCGGCCTCAAGCAGTTGTCCCCTGGGCTCTGCGGTCACGCAACCAACTTCCACGGTGTGGGCAGCCGGGAAGTAACAATCGCCCTCACAATCCGAAATGCACACGAAACCTCTCTATTACTCACTCATCTTTGTCTTCATCTTCATCTCTATCATCTTGCCTTCCTTCCACTGATGCAACTCCTCGACTTGATAGCTCTCCACTCTGCGTCCACTAAAAACGATGGAAGCCAAAAAACCACCACCGACAGCCTCTTAAAGCCGCGCCACCAATTTCATATAGGAGCTCTTAATGTTAGGACACTTTGCCAAATAGGACAACAAGCATCACTAGCCAAGACCCTGGCATCACGAGCCATTGATGTATGCTGTGTTTCAGAAACACGCATACAAGACCCAAGTGTGGTTATTCACCTAACCCCACCTGGCCAACAGGTTGAATCTGCAAAATTCACCTTGAGGGTGTCAGGAGATGCCACAGCTAGTTCACGAGGATTAGCTGGCGTAGGGATAGCTTTGAGTACTAGGGCAGAAAAGACATTGCTTGACTGGATCCCGGTAGATAGCCGAATGTGTGCTGTCCGCCTGAACGGATCAGTAAGAAGGAGGAAGGACTGCACTACTCGCCGATGCCTTTTCGTAATCTCCGCCTACGCCCCCACTGACTGCAGTTCAGATGAAACGAAGGATGAGTTCTACCAAAAGCTGTCTAGTTTGGTGGAAAGGCTAAACGCTCAGACATAGTCGTTCTAGCTGGTGACTTTAATGCTCAAGTAGGGAAATTGTGTCAATCTGAGAAGGATGTCGGTGGCACCTATGGAGCTCCGTGCCAGCGAACCGACAACGGTGACCGTCTCCTACAGTTCTGCTCTGATAATCATTTGTTTCTTGTAAGCACTAACTTTAAACACAAGGAAAGACACTGTTTGACTTGGAGACCCCCTTCATCAAACCAACGCTGGACACAAATAGACCACATAGCAATAAGCTATCGTTGGCGTGGGTCGGTAGGAGATTGTCGCTCCTTCTGGAACACGTGCGTAGATACCGACCATGCACTGGTCCGCGCTCGGGTGTGCTTACGACTGAACGGACGTAGGAAACAGCTGGCGGTAAAACCATCACGTCCCCAGCTCGATCAGGAAACTAAATCCGTATTTCAGGAAGAACTAGCTAAACACATATCTGTGTTCGACAGCTGTGCTCACCCTGAAGAAGCTTGGAAAAATATCCAGGCAGCCATAGATACAGCTGTAAAAGCTGTGAATAAGGTAAACCCAAAGGTGAGTAAAAACCACTGGATCTCCACCGCCTCATCCGAACTGATAGATGCTAGAAGACTTATTCCGGCGAGCTCCGAATTCAATGAGGAGCGAAAGCTGCACAAGAGGAAACTTACGAAAAGTCTCCGCAAGGACCGTGAACAGTGGTGGGCGACAAAAGCCAAAGAGATGGAGAAAGCTTTGAGGATAGGCAACACCAGGCAACTCTTTGGACTCATCAGGGAAACGGGTGGGAGAAGACAAATCATTAGTGAGACAATCTCGGAAAAAAATGGCACTATAATTAGCTCACAGGATAGACGACTGGATCGTTGGAAAGAGCATTATGAGGAGCAGTTTAATTTGCCCACAGCCACGCTCAACCTTCCGAGCATCCAACACCTCCCTGAATGGGATATAGACACAGGTCCTCCGTCACTAACTGAGGTTACTAAAGCTGTCACCAATCTGAAACTAGGCAAAGCAGCGGGACCTGATGGAATGACGCCAGAGGTATTTAAGTACGGTGGAGACAGCTTACTGTCCGGATTAACTGAGGTACTAGGCAGCGTCTGGGAATCAGAAGAAGTCCCATCGGGTTGGTGTAAGTCACTGATTATCCCCATATACAAGAAGGGAGACAAGTCTTCCTGTGATAATCACAGAGGGATTAGCTTGACTAATATAGTATCTAAAGTCTTAGGCTCAATAATCATGCGTAGACTGAGTGGTGCTCGGGAAGCACAAACACGAGAGAGCCAGGCAGGCTTTAGACCAGGAAGAGGGTGTATTGATCATATCTTCACCCTCCGACAGATTCTAGAACATAGGCATTCCTACCGGCGTCCAACAGTCATTATATTTCTTGACCTAAAGGCAGCATTCGACTCTGTCGATCGGGAAGTTCTCTGGAGATGCTTGGCTGTAAAGGGAATTCCAAGAAAATATATTGCACTGATTAAGGCACTCTACTCGTACTCATACAGCCAGGTGAGGGCTTACGGCGAGCTGTCATCTGAACTGATGACGACCAGTGGTGTCCGTCAAGGATGCCCATTATCTCCTTTTCTATTCAACTTCATCATAGATGTGTTAATGGACTTAACCCTAGGTGACTTCAGCGACTCAGGGATTGACTTGCTACCGGGGAATAATCTCGTTGACTTGGAATATGCAGACGATATAGTCCTTCTAGGCGAAGACGCTGACGAAATGCAGAGTCTTCTAAACACCTTGAGCCGCAATCTACGAATGTTTGGCATGCGATTCGCTCCCGCCAAATGCAAGATGATGTTACAGGACTGGACTACATCGACGCCTAGTTTAAAAATAGGAAGTGAAGTGGTAGAGCACGTTGACCGCTTCACTTATTTGGGAAGTACCATCAGCCCCAACGGGCTGATCTCTGACGAAATCTCAGCACGAATACAAGGGGCTCGTTTCGCATTTGTTAGTTTACGCCGACTCTGGCGTAGACGAGATGTTCGACTATCGACCAAAGGGCGGGTGTACTGCTCATCAGTCCGCTCCGTCCTCCTTTATGGTTGTGAGACCTGGCCACTGAGAGTGGAAGACATGAAAAGACTAGCTGTCTTTGATCATAGGTGCCTGCGTTCTATTTCCCGTGTAAAGTGGCATAATAAGGTGAGCAACATGGAGGTTAGGCGTAGAGTTCTAGGTAAACAGGGGAAATCAATCGACGAAGTCGTGAAGCTACAAAGACTGAGATGGTTAGGACATGTGTTACGTATGCCAAGCCATCGCCTCCCTCGACGAGCAATGTTAGCGGATATAGGGTCAGGCTGGAAAAAAGCTAGCGGCGGTCAAACAAAAACTTGGCATCAGTCAATGAAATCCACAACAGTTGGTCTAAGCCACGTAGGAAGGTGTAGACTTCCAGGCTGGGGTCCTCGGGACGGTAAAAATCTATGGTTGGAAACAATTGGTGACATGGCTCAAAATCGTTCTCAGTGGCGCAGATGCATCCACTCCCTGTGACTTATGATCTTCAATGAAACTGTTTTGTATTTCTTTATTACTCCTTTGTCTCACACCTCTGCTCACTGTTTCTATTATGCTTTTCTTGTACTTTCTTCTCTTGCTTCGCGTGCTACACGGAATGTGGCGACTTGAACTTCCGCACATTTGTGCAAAGTTCTATGTCAAAAACAGACAGATAGTGGTATCTCACACCTTCCTTATGATAAGAGGATGGAGCATTTAAATCTCTTCCCGTTATCATACCGAAGGAAGAGAGGCGACTTAATTTTAGCAGACCGTATACTTAACGGTGATTTAGGAACTAACCTTTCTCACCTTTTCTCCCCTTCTAGGATACATTTACGGGGTCACCGCTAAAAAGGTGCTCAAACCAAGGACGATTAAAATACGTGCAGAATTTAGATTCTCTCACAGAGTGGTCAAGGATTGGAACACCTTACATGATTCAGTAGTATCAGCACCATCGGCAAACGCTTTCAAAGGGAAGTTAGATCTCTGCAGAGATATACATTCCAAGGATTAACACAGGCCACAAGAGCCTTCTATCCTTATCATCTGAATCTGTAGGTTGTGGAGGCCGAAACATATCAAATCACACGTTCATCGTAAAATAGTAGAAATAATGAATTCACTGCACATCACGGTTGTTAATTAAGATTGAATAAGGACACGAACTGGTTTACCGCGCAGTACGGACGACACAACTTTCCTCCCCAGCTTCTTGCTTTCCACTATTGCCAATCATATCTGACTTAGGTCAGACACATTAATATTTCTGACACAGGCGTGATTTGATTTGGAATGACATCTCATGGTATTCCCTGTGTATGGTTTGACCTTGAAGGTCAACTTCTGAAAGACGACTTTGGCTATGGTACTTTAATCTCGCCGGGAATAGTATTTTTCTGGTGGATTTAGGACCTAGAAGTAATCATAGTGCCCATATATCACAACTCTGAAAAATAACCGCTTAAAATTACAAAAAAGAGATCAGACAGCACCTCTCTGGTTTTACAACGGCAAAAATACCAGCAACGTACCAGTTAACAATGGGCGAGGATATACACTATAACCTGTTATATTTTCCGCGCCTCAGGTTTTCTCGTCTTTCATTGGCTAGAACACTGGCGGTCAATTGGATATTTGATTTGTCCTTGGTGGG